CCTGGTGGTGACAAAATCTCTAAGCATTTGCTTATCTGTAAAGGATTTTATTTCTCCTTCACTTATGAAGCTTAATTTGGCTGGATATGAAATCCTGGGTTGAAAATTCTTTTCTTTAAGAATGTTGAATATTGGCCCCCACTCTCTTCTGGCTTGTAGAGTTTCTGCTGAGAGATCCGCTGTTAGTCTGATGGGCTTCCCTTTATGGGTAACCCGACTTTTCTCTCTGGCTGCCCTTAAGATTTTTTCCTTCATTTCAACTTTGGTGAATCTGGAATTGCTCTTCTCGAGGAGTATCTTTGTGGTGTTCTCTGTATTTCCTGAATATGAATGTTGGCCTGCCTTGCTAAGTTGGGGAAGTTATCCTGGATTATATCCTGCAGAGTGTTTTCCAACTTGGTTCCATTCTCCCCATCGGCTTCAGGTACATCAATCAGATGTAGATTTGATCTTTTCACATAGTCCCATATTTCTTGGAGACTTTGTTCATTTCTTTTTACTCTTTTTTCTCTAAACTTCTTTTCTTACTTCATTTCATTTATTTGATCTTCAATCACTGATACCCTTTCTTTCACTTGATCGAATCAGCCGCTGAAGCTTGTGTATGCATCATGTAGTTCTCATGCCATGGTTTTCAGCTCCATCAGGTCATTTAAGGTCTTCTCTATGCTGTTTTTTCTAGTTAGCCATTTGTCTAATCTTTTTTCAAGGTTTTTAGCTTCTTTGCGATGGGTTCGAACATCCTCCTTTAGCTCGGAGAAGTTTGTTATTACCGATCGTCTGAAACTTTCTTCTCTCAACTCATCAAAGTCATTCTCCGTCCAGCTTTGTTCCATTGCTGGAAAGGAGTTGTGTTCCTTTTGAGGAGAAGAGGTGTTTTTAGAATTTTTAGAATTTTCAGCTTTTCTGCTCTTGTTTCTCCCCATCTTTGTGGTTTTATCTACCTTTGGTCTTTGATGATGGTGATGTACAGATGGGGTTTTGATGTGGATATCCTTTCTGTTTGTTTTTTTCCTTCTAACAGTCAGGACCCTCAGCTGCAGGTCTGTTGGAATTTGCTGGAGGTCCACTCTAGACCCTGTTTGACTGGGTATCACCAGCGGAGGCTGGAGAACAGCAAATATTGCAGAATGGGAAATGTTGCTGACTGTTCCTTCCTCTGGAAGCTTCATCTCAGAGGGACACCCAGATGTATGAGGTGTTGGTCAGCCCCTACTGAGAGGTGTCTCCCAGTTAGGCTACTCAGGGGTCAGGGACCCACTTGTGGAGGCAGTCTGTCTGTTCTCAGATCTCAAACTCTGTGCTGGGAGAACCACTACTCTCTTCAAAGCTGTCAGACAGGGACATTTAAGCCTGCAGAAGTTTCTGCTGCTTTTAGTTCAGCTATGACCTGCCCCCAGAGGTGGAGTCTACAGAGGCAGAAAGGCATTCTTGAGCTGCGGTGGGCTCCACCCAGTTAGAGCTTCCTGGCTGCTTTGTTTACCTACTCAAGCCTCAGCAGTGGTGGACGCCCCTCCCCAAGCCTTGCTGCTGTCTTGCAGTTCAGTCTCAGACCGCTGTGCTAGCAGTGGGCGAGGCTCTGTGGGCATAGGACCCTCTGAGCCAGGCGTGGGATATAATCTCTTGGTGCACCGTTTGCTAAGACTGTTGGAAAAGAGCAGTATTAGGGTGGGAGTGTCCTGATTTTCCAGGTACCGTCTGTCACAGCTTCCCTTGGCTAGGAAAAGGAATTACCCAACTCCTTGTGCTTCCTGGGTGAGGCGATGTCCTATCCCGCTCTGTGGGCTGCACCCACTGTCTGACAAGCCCCAGTGAGATGAACCCAGTACCTCAGTTGGAAATGCAGAAATCACCTGTCTTCTGTATCGTTCATGCTGGGAACTGTAGACAGGAGTTGTTCCTATTTGGCTATCTTGGAACCTCCTCAATTCACTCTACTTTCTATTCTATTTTTTTTTAAACCTCAAGGTATAACATAACCTTCTTTGTCAAATATTAAGAGTCTATTTTAGAGAATTTCATATATATAAATATTAATATAACCACCCTAGATTAAAATATAGAACATGTACAGCACCTCAGAAGGCTTCTTTCTTCCACTTCTTTGTCAATATTAGTTTGTCTATTTGATATCCTTTCACCAATGCCACACTCTGAATTGCTGCTGTTTTATTGTCTTGAATTATTCAAGTCATGTAGTTTAAATCCTCCAAATGTGTGTTCCTTCAAGATTATCTCAGTTATTTGACCTTTTTGTATAAATTTTAGAACAAGATTGTCAGATTTCATGGAAAAATTTTGTTGGGGATTTTGGGACTGAAGTTGCCTGGAATCTTCAAAATATTTTGGAAAGAACTGATAACTTAATAAAAGTATCTCAATCCATGAACATAGTATATCTCTTCATTTATACAGATCTTGTAAAATTTCTCTCAACAATGTTTTGTACTTTTCAGCAGAGGTCTTTCACATCATTCATTAATTTTATTCCTAAGTAGTTGGTATTTTGTTACTTTTATAAATGGTATTCTTTTAAATTTTCATTCGTTAACTCTTTGTGTACCTTATATCCAAGGGCCTTACTAATGTACTTATTAATTGTAATCTTTTTTTGTAGATTTTTTAGGATTTTCTACATATTCAGTCATTTTTTTCTGCAAATAATGACTATTTTACTTTTTCCTTTCCAAAGTTTATATGTTTTATTTCTTTTTCTTGCCTTATTGCACTGGTTAGACTCTCCGATACGGTGTTTACTGAAAGTTGTAGTAGAGGATATTTCCTTTTTAAAAACTGGGTTGTGAGCCTTTCACTTGATTTCATGACCAATTAATAGATTGTGACCTTTAACTTTAAAAATACTGGTAGAGAGGGTGAATTAGATATGACTGGAGCAAAATCAAAGGAATAATAAATAGGAAATTTTAATAGCTCATGGAAGAAATAATAAGAATCTGGGTTATCCGAAGGCAGCAAGGATGAAGACAAAAAGACATATTTAAAAAAATACTTAGGTGACAAAATTTATTGGATACTGACATATTATTTAATTTACATTCTATATTCAAATATTGACATTTTTTCCAATAATATAATTTATAGCTATATTTTTCCAAGTCTAAGATCCAATCCAGGATCATGCATTGCATTTAATTATCTCTCTTTAGTCTCCTTTTATTCAGAAAAGTCTCTCAACTTTGTCTCTTATGACATAGATATATTTGAAGAATATAGTCCAGTTTATTTTACAAAATATTCATTGGTTTGGGTTTTCCAGGTGTAACCTCATGATTAGATTCAAGTTATACATTTTTGAAATAAATATCACAGAAGCAAGATTGCGTCTTTCACAGTGCCCCATATTAGGAAGCAGGCACAGGTTTGCCTTGATGTTAGTTAAGTTAAATTGATCATGTAGCTAAGGTGCTGTTTACAAGTTTGTTTTTTTTGCTTTTTTTGTTTTGTTTTGTTTAGTAAATACTTAGAAATTATGTAAGTACTGCTTATCATGAAACCTCTACCCACTAATTTCAGTATTCATTGATGATTCCTGCCTAAATCAATTATTACAATAATGGTTGCAAGGTGATGACTTTCTAACTTTATCCATTATTCCTTCTGCATAGGTTAGTTTGTATTAGCTATAAGAAAGAGTTTTTCTTTCTTCCCTACTTATTTATTTAGTCATGCATATTTTTATTATGAGTATGGATTTTTATTTTTATTTTATTACAGATTTTTATTTTACGAAAAGGGTTATGATCCTATACTATGATTATTGATTTTGATGCTTAAATCTATCCAGTTTTGACCAGTGGAAGTCTCTTCAAACTGCCTTCTGTGTTCTTTTGACATGTCATATCATTCTTTGAGCACTTTTTTACTATGCAACATAAAAGAGTTGTTTTGTATTTTCCCTGATCCAGTCTTGAAATCAACTATTTTACTAAGAATTTCTCATTTTCTTTAGTGGAGGATGACAATAGTATTTAAAAATAAGTATACCAGATATGCTCATTGCTGCTATCAAGGTGTCTTTGTGTCTAGTTCCTTTCAGCACATGGACTAGAAAATTACATGTATATAAAATTTTATATGTATATAAAAATTTATATATATAAAATGGACTAGAAAATTGATGTATACACACATCAATTTTCATACATTTACTTATTTATTTAAAGACAGAGCCTTGCTCTGTTGCTCAGGCTGGAGTGCAGTGGTAAGATCATAGCTCAGTGCAGCCTCAAACTCCTGGGCTCAAGAGATCCTCTTGCCTCAGCCTCCTGAGTAGCTAGAACTACAGGTGTGCACCATTGAGCTTGGATACTAAAATTTTTTTTTGTAGAGACAGGAGTCTTGCTATATTGCACAGGCTAGTCTCAAACTCTTGGCCTCAAGTGGTCCTCCTGCTTTAGCCTCCTAAAATACTGGGATTACAGGTGTGAGCCATGTGCCCAGGCAATTTTCATACAATTACATGTATGTATGTTAACATTTTGAATATCAATGAGTAATGAGACCTGCAATTCCAATCCAATAAAACAGACTGCATTCTAATTTTTCTCCCTCCATATTTTTAAATCCCATCTCTAACAGTGAGAAATTCATTGCCATTATTCTCAATATATTTACTTATTTAGTCAATCTTAGAATATATACCAAGTACATTCCAGCAAGTCAGAATAGTTAACCAATCACATTGTTATTTTCATGCTGTGAAAAATAAATTTACTGACTAGAATTCAATAGTTGTTTACAGTAGAGAGTTTTCATATACTTACACATCTTACTTTTTAAATATGACTAGGAGAGGGCTCCTGACTTAAAAAATATGATAAATGTTATCTATGGTTAGAAAAACATGAATACTTTTAGGAACCAGCTTAGTGTATAAGTTATATTTTCAATAGAACTAAAGCTTTTAAAGTTTTAATCTTAAAATTTAATTTTAATGATTCAGAATTATTATGCTAAAATGTAAATTATTTGGTTCTTACCCTGGCATCAGGATTATCATCAAATTGTGTTCTAATAAATGTATCAAAAGAATCCCAATAGTTTTCGGTTAGGTTTCCACCCAAAGACCACAAATAACAGAATACAAAAGTCTGACATAGTATAGTGTTCAGTTTTGTTTGTTCCTGAAAGAATAAAGAGAAACAGACTTAATATTTTATATATAAACATAAAAAGAATCCTAAGCTGCAAAGTGTGAAGGTATTTTTCTTTCATTTAGACTAACACATTTTTAAATGGGCACAGTGTATGTTTCTTACACTTTATGCAATGGTTCACAGAGTAGTGTTTTCTTATAGTTATATATTATAATCACTGATGAGAAAATGAATGAGAAGGAATATGTAGGGAAAAAAAGTCCAAGTTTGTCTTTCAACTGATTATTATAATTTTTTAAATACCTGCATGAAGGTATGTAAGCAGATTGAGAATGTCTTGTATTGGGAATATGTTGTAGACTGTAAGAGAATTCAAAATTGAGTAGAGGAATAAACTATACATGCTAACGTTCCTTGTAGCTTTGAGATTCTATGAATGTAATCATAGCTATTAGTCCCCTGAAAAATTAACTTAAAAATCAAATGGTTATATTTTAGAATGGAGTCATTTCTTTGCAAGGAATTTATACAATAATTAATTTTTCTAGCTTCATAGCAGTAAGAAAACTCTTCATACCATTGCCAAGTTAACTCCATCTTTCCCAAGTATCAAGGACTCCAATAAGCAACAGAGTGTAGTAACTTTGCTGATGTCCACTTGTGGAATTGCTTGGCTGCACTTTTTATTGATAAAATGTAAACCTTCATCAACATAACGTTGGAAAAGATTTAATATATATTCTTGGGTTTCCTCATTCAGCTGAAAATGAAACAAATGATAGTTTAGCAAGACCTGATAAATACATAATTCAGTTTAGAATTGGGTTGGTTAAAATCTGGATATTTCTATATATTCAGTGATCTTTAGACCAAAGGCTATAACTATCACAACATATTAAACAAATTAAATTTTAAGGAAACCTTTTATGACTGGGAAGGGATACATGGGGGAAATTATGGGTAGTTGATTGCATTCTATTTCTTGGTCTGGCAATGGGTTCAGAGGTGTTAATTTCATAATTATTTCTTAAGCTGCCAATACAAAAAATATTTAAAAGTGAATTCAATCCCTCTCACTACTCTTATTCAACTTTGTCCTGAAGTCCTAGCTAATGCAATAGGACAATAAAAGGAAATAAAAGGTATACAGATTGGGAAGGAAGAAGTAAAACTATCTTTGTTCACAAATAACATAATTGTCTATGTGGAAAATCTACCTAAATTGACAAAACAAAACAAATGAAACTGGAACTCATAGGTAATTATGGTAAAGTTGCAGGATATGAGGTTAACATATACAAGTCATTTTCTTATACACCAGCAAGGAGCAATTGAAATTTGAAATTAAAAATACAATACAATTTACATTGGTGCCAAAAATAAATTAATTATAAATATATCAAAATATGTACTAGATCTATATAAGACAAGCTATAATACTCTGATGAAAGAAGCTAAAGAACTACTAAATAAATAGAAATATCACATTCATGGGTAGGAAGACTAAATAGTCTTACGATGTCAATTTCTCCGATGTTATCTATAAATTCAACAAAATCTCAGTCAAAATTCCAGCAAGTTACTTTGTGGATTAATTGACAAACTGATTCTAAAGTTTATATGGAAAGGCAAAAGACCCAGAATAACCAACACAACAATGAAGAAAAAGAACAAAGTTGAAAAACTGACACTACCCAACTTCAAGACTTACTATACAGCTGCAGTAATCAAGACAGTGGGTTATTGGTGAAAGAATGGAAAAGTAGATCAATGGAACAGAATGGAGAGCACAGAAATAGACCTACATAAATACAGTCAATTGATTTTTAACAAAAAAGCAAAGGCAATCCGATGGAGAAAGGACAGTCTTTTCAACAAATGGTGCTGGAACAACTGGATATACACATGCAAAAACAATGAATTTAGACACAGACCTTATACCCTTCCTAAAAATGAACTGAAAATGGATTATAAATGCAAAACACAAAATATGAAGTTTTTAGAAGATAACAGGAGAAAATCTACATGACTTTGGGCTTGGTGATGACTTCTTAGGTATGACACCAAAGGCATCATCCATGAGGGAACAAACTGGTAAGTTGAATTTCATTAAAATTAACTTCTACTCTGGGAAACACACTGTTATGAGAATAGAAGATGAAATATTTATACAATGTGAAGATTGTAAAAAAAAAATCCAATGCTAAAAAGAAATAAGTTACCAAACCACAGAAAGACATGGAAGTACCTTAAATGAATATTACCAAGTAAAAAGAAGCCAGTCTGAAAAGGCTATGTACTATACGATTTCAACTGTATGACATTCTAGAAAAGGTAAAACTACAGAGATAGTAAAAGGATCAGTGGTTGCAGGGGTTAAGGGATGGGAGGAGGGATGATATTCAGAAGGTAGATCTCAGAGGATTTTTAGAGCAATGAAACTATTCTGCCTGATACTATAATGGTGGAAACATGACACTGTGCATTTTTCAAAACCCATAAATTGTACACAAAGAGTGAACTCTAACACAAAGTATGCACTTTGGTTAATAATAATGTACGAATACTGGTTCACCATTTATGCAGTGTTAATAATAGGCGAAACTGTTTGGGGGTGAGGGAATACATGGGAACCCTCATTTCTGTTCAATTTTTCTATAAACTTAAAACTGCCCTAGAATAAAAATGTCTGCTAATTTTAAAAAAGTGAATTCAGAAAAGTTAAAAGTCTTAAGGTAGCCAATGATAAACTCCCAATTCTGAGAATTACTGTCTTTAATGAGGTACTCTGAGACTAGACCATAATATTCTTAAAATGTTCATGCAAAGAAAGGAGGAAAACAATAGTTTTCTGGCTTATCTTTGGAGGGGGAGAGGCAGAGACGAAGATGGCTTATTTGGAGTAGGTGATGAGATGTGGGGGAAACATCTCAAAGGACTACTTCAGCTAAGCTAAAGAGAAAAATTCTGTGTTAGAATGGAGAAGCTACAGAAAGTAGTATGAAACTGATTTGTTTTGAATAACAATGTATAAGCTTTTCTTCAATTTGGGTGGAATTGTACCTCTGAGGTTAGAATGTGTCTTAGGTCTTGCACCTACAATTGGGGTAGGATGTAAATGGGTTTTCTTTTATCTTTGGCTGTCATAGGTGTTAGGGGCTCTGAAAATCCAAAAACAATGACAGTTAGGGTCTAGACTTAAATATTCTTTTTCTTCCTTTTGGTTCTGTTTTATTACTCCCAAGCTTTCTGCAAAGTCTCAATGCCTCAGGCTGTTGTAGTTGTGTTTTTAGGGACTCACAAAAGTGGCTTGTGTTTCAGTCTGGGGAGAAGCCAGACAGAATAGGCAGGAGGAAGTGTGAGTAGGCTGGCTGGCAGGCTGGGGTAACAAGAAATGAGGACAGATTTGGGGAGTATATAAACATTCCTGGAGGATTCTAGGAATCCATAGGGAGGACTAGGTAAAATAATGAAGTCCCCTCAATCAAGGACCACGAGTCCTTAACATATTGTTATTTGTGCACTAGAAGGCAACGTGAGTCCTGACAGATGGAGATATTGGGGAATATCTGATTGCACTTACATTTTTAGAAATACCCTTCATCCAAGTTTTAACATAAGGCATCCATTTCAGTTCTTCAGGATCCACAAACACCATTCCACATCGACTGACAGTTGCAGGGGAGGCAACCCGCAGATCTTGCACCTAAAGTTGAAGAAAGTTGAGCAGGAAACCGCTAATATGATACTTCCTTATTTCTCCAACTTCAGTGTTCACACTTATAAAATGATTCACACTTTTGAAGTCTAACTTAACATTGAAAGGCTTTGTGTGGAAGAGAGTGGGAGAGCAATAAGTAATTAGAAATGCAAGAACAAAGTTAAATGAGTATAAGGCGAAAAAATTTCCACAAGTACAGGAGGATACTGTCAAATTCTATGGGCAGGGCTATTTTTTCTTTCTTCTCTTTGCTTTTCTCTTTTCTCCTTTTCATTCTTGTATTAGAATCCCTAGCACATAGTAGGCATTCAATCAGTATTTGATGAATGAATAGAACACAGGTGGCATCCTTCATAATGTTTGTAGCTGTACTTGGTTCACATTCCTCTCCCAATCCCTCATCAAATATTCATATCACAGTGGGATAATTTATTCTTATTAAATATAATAATTTTTAAATTTAAAATGCATTTCAAATGATACAAAGTGAATTTAAAATGCATTTCAAATGACACAAAGTGCTATCTCTCTCTCTTTCTTCCTCTCTCTCCCTCTCTCAGGGAAGCCAGAATTTATTGTACTTCCTATTTATAGAGACAAGAACATTGAGACTTTGACTGTCAATCTATTACAAAAGGATAATTTAATAAGTAAGTAAACAGAACATAATAATAGACATTATAGATAGTAAAGGCTACATCAGTGTGACAAAAAATGTAATGATGGTATGCCAATTTAATGAATGATTTCACTCCACAGTAATGTGTACACTTACCTCAAAAAGCATGTGAATTTGAGGTGTGAGTTTAATCCTCTCACTGTTAGCCAGGCAAAGCATCTTGTTATCATCCAGCACTGTATTCATGTTTTCAATCCAAAGAGCATCTACTGGCCCATCACTGATGATCCATTTATGGTCTTCTGAAGTATCATTCACAGCTGCTCGGACACTTAGTGCCATCAAACCATCTTTCCATTCCAAGGTTAAGTTATTAACCTCTCCATATAATTCGCCCATGGTAATTGATTTAGGGTTGAGAACATATGTTTTAACTGCTTGGTAAAAGGGATTTTCTATCCCAAGTTTTTGTAAATTCCCTAAAGTTTCTGCTAGTATTCGGTAAACTGTGGTCTTGCCACCTCCTGTTGGTCCAACTAACATAACACCATGCCTTACTAGCATTGTTTCATAAAACTGTATCACCTTTCTAACCATACACATCTCAGGCTGAAGATTTTGTCCATTCATGACATCCACAATTGTTGACTGTAAAATACCATAGTCATGTTCTGGAATTTGGACTCCAGGAAAAAGGTCAGATATGATTCCACTGTCAAAATAAAAATAAAATCAATTAGGAACAACTGGTCATTGATTTTTCCCATATTTGTTACAATCAATGAAATATTATGAGTCTTATTGTTTCTCATTGATCTTTCCCTTCTGAACATGTACAGTATTAGTTTGTCCTACATGCTGTACCAGAATCTATCATTTCTCTGATATCATGTATGATTTTGTTTGTTTCCTGTATAGTAGACCAATGTTCATAAGTATATTAGGAGCTTCTTGGGAGTAAGCAATATCTTTTGTGTTTCTTTCTGTATTTCTCACAGTACATGGCACAGTACCAAGCATATAGAAGGTGATGAACTTATTTTTAATTATTTAAAAAATTATAAAATATCTCACTTAAAAATTTAAAATTATTTTAAAATTATATTTAAAATTATATTTATAGCTCAAATTTTCCTAAAATCACTTACATATGCTCATAACTGTATGTGGCTATTCAGAAAAATAAGATGAATATGGAATTAAAATTAGTATTATGCAAGAAGGAAGGAAGGAAAAATGTGACTGTTTCTATAGGAAACAGTTGATATGAGATGTTTCTATGGGAAAAAAGAAGCTAAATCTTTACTTCATATTATATACACAAATATATCTGTGATACAGTTAAAACCTTACATAAAGTGACCAAAGTACTAGAAGAAAGTATAAGAACTAGATTTTGCAACATTGTGGTAAGGCGGTCTTTCTAAGAAAGGCAGGATATCTACAACTGTAAAAAGAAGTTGACAGAGTGAAAAAAGAAAAACAAACAGACAAAAATCAAACTTCTGTGAGATAAAAGGCTTTATATACAAACCTAAAGCATGAATGAGAGACTTAGAAAAACATTTCCAATGTTTATATCAGATAAAGGTTATGTGTTTCTATAAATCAGTTAGTAAGAGTACAATAGGAACATGCTTCAATAATAATAATTATAAACAAATAATGAACATAGGAAATGATACCCAATGACTCTAATAGTTACAGAAATGAATATTAAAATAGGCTACTACATTTGGCCTCTCTTTAAAACACTTACGGGGAAATAGGCACCTTCATAAAACCACTTATGTAAATGTAAAAGGGTAACTCATCTTTGGAGGACAATTTGATTGAATCTATTTAAATAAAAAATGTGCAAACCCTATGACCTAGGAAACTTACTTCCAGGAATCTCCCTTGTAGAAATATCATACCTGTGCAAAGATATATGTATAGGAATGTTCATTATTAGCATAGAAAACAATTAGGAAAAAATCTAAATGTCCATATATAAGACCTTTCACATTAAAATAGTTCTATAGGTTTATTATGTCTCAAAGTACTATCTTACATAATAGCAGTCTAGCAGCAGTACAAAAAAATAGACTCATGCATATATACTAACATGAAAAAGATGCTTAAGATATGTAACTAATTGAAAAAGCAACAGCTGTAAAAATAGAAATGTATTAAAGGTAATACATGAAAATGTCAACCAACTTATTTCTCCGGAAAGATGGAACAGACTTATTTTTCCCTATTCCTTCCATTAAGTACAACTAAAATCCCTGTACATTAAGTAAAATAAATGAAAGAAGACTCTGAAAGGTAGAGAAAAGGCAGACTGGCTAGGTACTTAAGATGCAAGCAATAACAGTGTCGAGTCTCTTGTGTCTTTTTGTCTTTTATATCCTGGCAATCCAGAAATGCCAATGGGCACAGATTTTTTAAAAAAGCCCTAGGAAAAGCTTACCGCCTTTATCCAAAGGACCAGGAAAGGGGCAGCCCAGCAAGACAGAAAACTTTTAGGCAGTAACTGCTCTACTCTAACCAAACACCACTGAAAACTCCTGAGGTATTTATTCCTACCCACACCAGCAGATACTGAGTACGGAGCCCAGACTTCCACTCTAGCTAGGGTGTAACAAGTCTCCTGAAATTCCTCTCCTCATTCCCCCATGGTGTCAGAGAAGGCCATATAGGGATGTACTTTCATCCTCACTGGGAAGTAATGATACTCCCTTTGGTATTAGTGGAGACCATATGGGAAGCCTGGACTTCCAGCCCTCCCCAGGAATAATGAAGCACCCCTTCCTCTCTCTGATGGGTGGCATCAGAGGAGGCTCAGTGGAGAGTTAGGACTTTTACCACTGTCCAGGGGTAACAAAGCTGTCTTCCCTGTGGCATCAGTGGAGGTTACGTGGGGAGCAGTAATGAGGTATTTCTACTCTTCTATCCAGGACAATATCACTGGAGGACTGCCAGGGAGCTGGAACTCCCACCCCTACACAGCAGAAATGACTGCTCCCACCAGACACCAATAAAACTTGAATTCTATCCCCACCTGGCAGTAACAAAGTTGCATTTCTAATTTCTCTTGCTGGTGTGGCATCAGGAAAAGCCAGCTAAAACAAGTTTAGATAAGATCTAGAGTCTCATAACATAATATCTCAGATCAGTAGGTTTCAATAAAAATCATTCATCATATCAAAAGCCAGAAAGATCTCAAACTGAACTAAGAGAGACAATCAATAGATGCTAACACTGAGATAAGAGACATGTTAAAACTGTCTGACAAATGTATTTTATTTCTTAAGGGATACGGTCTCACTATACTGCCCAGGCTGGCCTTGAACTCCTGGGCTCCAACCATCTTCCTGCCTCAGCCTTCTGACTAGCCAGGACTATAGGTGCATGTGACTACACACAGGTGAGATCATTATCTTAAAACAGACATCATGAAAATGTTTTAAGAATCCATTATGAACACATTAGAAACAAAAGAATATAAGGACATCTCAGCCAAAAAAAAGAAAGAAAAAAGAATATACAAAGAACCTGTGAGAAATTTTAGAACTGTTCCCCTTCCTGAGTCCAAGTGATCTCATTGCTCAGTTCCCACCTATGAGTGAGACCATGCGGTGTTTGGTTTTCTGTTCTTGTGATAGTTTGCTGAGAATGATGGTTTCCAGCTGCATCCATGTCCCTACAAAGGACACAAACTCATCCTTTTTTATGGCTGCATAGTATTCCATGGTGTATATGTGCCACATTTTCTTAATCTAGTCTGTCACTGATGGACATTTGGGTTGATTTCAAGTCTTTGCTATTGTGAATAGTGCCGCAATAAACATACGTGTGCATGTGTCTTTATAGCAGCATGATTTATAATCCTTTGGGTATATACCCAGTAATGGGATGGCTGGGTCATATGGGGCCTATCATGGGGAGGGGGAGGGGGGAAGGATTGCATTGGGAGTTATGCCTGATGTAAATGACGAGTTGATGGGTGCTGACGAGTTGATGGGTGCAGCACGCCAACATGGCACAATTATACATATGTAACAAACTTGCACGTTATGCACATGTACCCTAGAACTTAAAGTATAATAATAATAATAATAAAAAGAAAAAAAAAAGAAATTTTAGAACTGAAAAAATACAATAAAAAATCAACAGATGGGTTCAAGAGCAAAATGGAAGGGATAGAGGAAAGAACTAGTAAACTGCAAGACAGAATAATAGAAGTTACCCAATCTGAACAAGACAGAGAAAATTGTCTGAAAAAAAAATGAGCAGCCCTTGGAGACCTATGGAAATATAACAAAAGATCTAAGATTTGTGTCATTGGAGTCTCAAACGATGGGGAAAGATGAAAGAGCTGAAGAAGTATTCAGAGAAATAATGACTGAAAATGTCACACATTTGCCAAAAAGCACGAACCTACAGATTTAAGACGTTGATCAAATCTCAAACAGAATAAACCCGAAGAAATCCATATGAAGAAACAACATAGTCAAACTTCTAAACACGGAAGACAATGAAAACAATCTTAGCAGCAGCCAGAAGAAAAAAAAGAAATGACACCTTACCAACAGGGAAAAAAAACCCACACAGAATAACAGCAAAATTCTCATCTGAGACCATGGAGGCTGACAGGAAGTGGTACATCTTTTTAAAAAAATGTTTTATTTTCAGTTCTGGGGGGTACATGTGCAGGATGTGCAGGTTTGTTACATAGGTAAATGTGTGCCATGGTGGTTTGCTGCACCTATCAATCCATCATTTTTCAGTTCCCACTTATAAGAAAGAACATGTGGTGTTTGGTTTTCTGTTCCTACATTAGTTTGCTGAGTTTATGGTGTCCAGTTTCATCCATGTCCCTGTAAAGGACATGATCTCATTCCTTTTAATGGCTACATAGAATTTCATGGGGTACATGGGAAGTATATGGTACAACAGCTTTCAAGTACTGAAACACCGGTCACTCCAGAATCTTATACTCAGGGAAAATATCCCTCTAGAATGAAGGGAAATAAAGACATTCTCAGATAAAGGAAAAGGAAATGAATTTGTAGCCAGCAGATCTACCATGAAGAATGGCTAAAGGGAATTTCCCTAAGCAAAAAGAAACGATGAAAAGAAGCAAACTTGGAGCACCAGAAAGGAAGAAAGAACACGATAAATAAAAATATGAGCTCCTATTATGAACATGTTATTACCATTCATTGTGAAAAGTAATTGTATATTTATATATAAGCATCCTTCAGAGATGCTGTGGGTTCAGTTTCAGAGCACTACAATAAAGTGAATATAGCAATAAAGCAACTCATTTTTTGGTTTCTCAGTGCATATAAAATTTATTGCTATGCTATACTGTAGTCATTTAAGCATGCAATAGCATTATGTCTAAAAAATGTACATACCTTTATTTAAAAATGCTTTATTGCTAAAAAAGGCTAATGACCATCTGAGCTGTCAGCAAGTTATAATCTTTTTGCTGGCAGAAGGTCTTACCTCAATGTTGATAGCTGCTGACTGAGCAGGATGGTAGTTGCTGAAGGCTGGAGTGACTGTGGCAATTTCTTAAAATAAGACAGCAATAATGTTTGCCATGTTCATTGACTCTTTTGTGAAAGATATCTATGTGCTTGTGATGCTGTTTGATAGCATTTTACTCACAGCAAAACTTCTTTCAAAGTTGAAGTCAGTTCTCTCAAACCCTTCCAC